TCCATGACACTGTAAAACTGACGATACTGTTGCGTCCATTTGAACTTTCATAAGATGAAGCCACACAAGCCACAGACAACAAAGCAGAAATTTTCCTTCAATTTGTTTTTTTGTTTTACGCCTACAAGAACAAACTAATATGTGATTATTACATCTGCACACTGTAAATGCTAAAACTTTCTAAGTCACAAGAGTCATTGGTAACTCTACTTTGTTTGCTTCAGCACCAAGATTAATCTTCACTCATGTGAAAAGCCAATCAGCGTCCAACAATCTATCCCCTTGATTGAAATGCAGTGTCTAATGTGTTAACAATACTAGCCAGCTGCTCACGATTTATGCATATATGTGTCAGTTTGTGTAAGTCCAGATTTTTCCTACCAGCTAGCATTTGAATCTGAATCTTGAACTCTCTCCTCTTTAGTTCACCTTGTACATCAGCCTCTGTCAGCAGTTTAACGGACCGGCAGATATTCCGATCAGGGTCCTGAATACTAACTGAGCTGCTGGCCCGTGAAACCAGAACTCTGATTATTAACACCACTGACTCCCAAAGGATGAAAGCTGTGGGTTAATGTTCCCCAACACCCTCAGGTGCAGAGTACCAGGGGCTCTGAGGAAACTATGTTTAGCAATGATGTTGGAAAGTTGATAATAAACCCCTGTTTCTTCTCAGTGGCTGGACGTATTTGTATAGAAAGAAATGTGATTCACAAACTGACCTAACATATTTTGGTTCAATAACTGCTTTGATTTCAGGTCAAAAACTTAGTCCAGATTTTGTTTTAAGAGAGATAACATTTATATCAGGCTTATGTCTGAATCACTGTAAAATCTGGGTTTACTTGATATTCAAGAAAGCGGGAAAAAGTTTAAACAGTCTACAGCAAAGAAAACTGTGTTCAGTAAAGTCCACAGTGTGCAGTTTCCAAATTAAACTTTTACATCATGTTTGTTTCCTTTGTCAGAGCAACAACAAATTATGAATATTTTCATTAGGCCACAATGTTGTGTCCACGCTGTGGCACATCCGCCTGCAACTAGCCAGAGCTGAAGTTTGGACAATGGTTACAGTTATAATGCTTTAATGCTCTACTACCCAGATGTAAACAAGCACAACAAAAGCCTGGTGCAGCAGTACCCCCCTCTAGAAAACTAAAATAATGCTGAGTGTTGGCTGAGTCTGGTCAGATGAGCATATCACTAACTGCTATAATGCTACAGCTCTCAAACAAGCATAAATGACAGATGTAATCTCACAAAGTAGTGTGGTTTGGCAGTTTTATGATCTAGCAAATGGAGGTAAAGCTGAGTCTGGTTAAACATACTGTAACCAGAGTAATGTGCAACAAACACAGGCTTGTGGACATTAACCTGCAAGGAGGGCCGAATGCTGGTGGTGCTAGCTCTGCTAAGTTATCCACAGTCTGCAGTGTCACAATGTTAACTTGCAAACTTTGCGATCCCTCATCTCATCACATCTTATACATTGTGCTCTATTTTTACTGTTTTCTGACTATTTTTCTTACCTTTTGACTTGCCAACTGATCAAAATCTTATTATTATTTGTTCAACCTATTGAGAAAACAGTGACTTTGCAACATCCTTATCCGGGCTGGGTTCATTTTTAACCCAAGGATTTTTAGGATGTATTTTCCTTTTTTCCACAAACCTGAGATGATTTTGACTCTGCAGCCTCTAAACTAAATTACATTACTCATGGAGACAATTAGCAATATTTTGACTTAAAAGTACATTGAAGCAGAAAAACAACTGTTACATTCTTGGGAATTTTTATGCTTTTTTTTTATGGAGGGCACCAGCTTATCTCCCCATCAAACACAGTCTCCTGAGATGCTAAAGCTAGTAACTAGAAGAAAGTAGGAAGTCTGGCTTTATCTGTAAACCAGAGATGGTGTAACTCTTCTCACATAACTGTCAATGAGAAGTTCTATTTTCCAGATATTGAACAGTAGGCAGTCACTTTTTACCCATATTATGTTCAAAGAGAGTTCAGTCATATCATATCAATACTTGTATACATATGTTCTTCATGATCCTGTTGCTAGGATACAGACTCAACATCCTGAGGCACTTGAAGACTTCAACTATGTCACCCTCTCAGTTTGTTAACTGTCCTACCAGAGAAATTTTCTCATGAGATTCAGGACAAATCAACTTCCCTTTGAGGATGGAAAAAAAGTTCTTGTATTGTATTAATGTGGCATAAAATAAAAAGAAAAATCTATATCATTAGGTCATTACAGTGAATGGAACAAGGTTTTGAGGGAAACTTTAAAGTTGCAAACAATTCACTTAATAAATTTGTTGACTATATGCTATGCTGTACTGTACTTAATGAGCAAAACTGACCTATTTGTTCAGTTTTGCTCATTGATCACAATACTCTGTTAAGAAATTAGACGATCGCCTTTGCCTCCCTTCAAATTTTCCACTCTTTTCTCAGAGTTGGATTCCAGATCCCTGCCGTATAATGTACTGCGGGATGGGCCATGAATTCAGGAAGTCACTCCTGCCGTCTCTATGGCAACCCTGAGGTCAGTCCTGCAAGGCCGGAGACCCCTCCTCAAACACAAAGAACCCAGAGGGCTGGATCAACACAAACAATCCAGCTTACACACACACACACACACACACACACACACACACACACACACACACACACACACACACACACACACACAGAGTTAAAATTACACACTTTTACACACAAATGCCGGCAAGTCCACAAGCACATAAATCGCATTCAGCTAGCTAAAGACTTCCTGTGACGCAGAAACACATTTTCAGTCTAATATGTAAAACTAGGGTAAAGATGCATCACTGTGTTGTAGTTGAGACTGTTGTATTCATGTTTGAAGGACACATCAGGTGTTTTTGGAGAATACTCAGGTTGATGTTTAACAAACTCTTTCCACAGTGACCTGAGTCAATCATTGGCTGTGCTGCTAAATGCTAAACTTCAACATTGTGTGAGTCAATTAGCATTTTCTTAAGTGTAAACCAAAACTAGTAAAAAAAAAAAAAAAAAAAAGTTGTATCAAATTTATTTAATCTTAAACTATAAGTGTTTAGCCTACTTATTAATGTTTCTGCTAGTTTAGAGGTCTTAAAAGGAAGTTTTAAAATGTTGATAGAAGTCAGAGACCTTCTCAGATTTTAAGGCACTTAAACTAATCACTACCACTTGACATCTGGCAGCTTAAAACCAAAGTCTTATTTATTTTCCTTCCCATTAGGTTTTGAAAGACGAGAAGAAAAAGGGACAGCACAGAAACAAAGCCAGCTTTTGGTAACGGCTGTCTTTGAGTCCTTTATTGTAGTTTGCATTACCTGTGTCCTTTGAGGCCCTGACTTCAGCCAAGGAAACATAACAGCCGTAGACTGGATAAAACATGGATGCAGTCTTTATGAAATGACTTATTAGTGTCAAAAGAGAGCCTATGATGCCATAACTAGATGACTCTAACTAACTTTCCATCAGTCTAGAAACAGAGAAGGAGGTTCATTTGTGGTCAACATGCCCACCTGTAGTTAAATCAGCTGAACCTCTACTTATGTTGACATGCGAGTGACTTTTTTTCTCAATATAGTCAAAATGAATGTTTATCTAATAAACAAAATTGAACACATGCCTGCCTTTCTTCAGCAAACTTGATAGCCTTGACAGCACTCAGCTCCCAGAGTCTTTTTCAAACTGGTATGCAGGGGAGTACCCAGACTTTTTGACTAGGGTGACACAACTGAGAACTATTCGATGGGCTGCTGAGTACTCAACATTTCTCATTAGATTACGGTACTCTGGTTATAGCCAGAATGATCAATAGAATACCCACTACTAAAATAATCAATTACTACAGTCTAAAGATAATGGAGAATTCTCTCCTGGAAACACAGTATTTCTTGTTCAATATTTGATCATTTTACATCACTATCACAGCAGGTGCAGGTGCAAGCTGATCTGACGCCCTGACTACGTCTGGTGCCCATACCAGTGTTTGTAGAAAACCCCTGAGTTAACCAAATGTTTACATGTAAACATGCTCTTGCCTGAAAAAATCTTACAGAAAGCCTAAAGCATATCATTCCTCTCTTTTCCAGACTTTAACTGGTTCACTACCACAGGACAAACAGCTTGTCTGAGGATAAGACAAAGTCTGACTTGCACACACTCACTTAGCTTGGGAAACAAACTGACCATCATCCCCAGGGAGACAGGGACGGATGAATAGGCAGGACACAGAGTCACATTCATGCACAGCCCATCACAGATTACTGATTACTTCCCCTAAAAGTACTTTTAGGAGTTGACCATTCAGTGAATCTGTGTTAAACACAGACAAGTTTTGCTTTTAATTTCCTGGTGGGGTTCTTATACTACAAATAGCCACATCTTTATGGTTATAAAAACAAAAACAAAAATCTTGAGTTTTATCAGCTACTATTTAGAACATTATCCTAAAGGGGGAAAACCCCTTCTCCTATGTCCTGATGAAGAAAACTCAGACTTTCATGTAACTTAAATAGACAAAAACTTGAAATGGTTAAAGTGCACATGGAAAAAAGGGTATTTGAATTTATCTGTGCTTATCAATAATTTTTTTATTTTAAAATCCTGTTTTCTTCTTAGACTTTCACTTAGTTTAAACGCCATTCCTGTACTCTATCTTTATAAAGTGCAGTGAAAAACACTCACGTTCAGTCCTCAGGTTTAAGAAGCTTTGGCAAACTCAATACATAAATCTATAAATTAAGATTATTTCAAGTTATCTAAAGTTACTTATCAGGTAAAGTCAAAATGAGGACATTAAAGCATCTATAACACTGTTTTTGGTAATTCGGCGGATATCACGTAGTGTTACTCCTTGTCATCAGCACTTTTTTACCGTGAAACTCTTTTCCTGGTTCCCACGCCGTTTGACCGCCCTTATTTACGGATCACAGCTGAGACAGCATGCAAATCAATTCTTAAAGCTACTTTTCTTCTTACATTCGTTGTTATTTAATATCAAATCCACGCCGAACTTTAAAGATGGTGTATTTTGAGCTCGACCACAAGTGGAAAGCTGTTTTAATGGAAGCAGCTGTTCTACAAACTGCTGTAAATAAAACGTGATAATTTTCAGATGAAGGTTTGGCATCAGAGTGAGTCCGGCGGCTGAGACAACAGAAAAAAGTCCGGAGGTAAGTAAACTCACCACTTTCCTGTGAACAGCTGATGAAGACAGCGGGTCGCCTTTTCTTCCCTCTGCATTTCAGGATGATACTGAACAGAAGTGACCCTTCGTGGCGAGATTTTTCACGGACAGTTAAATAAAACATGAGGATTCTGCCGTGAAGAAGAAAATCAGTCCTCTGTCGATGCCGATGGTCACTTGCTCCAGCGAAATAGGGATGTACTTGGAGATGACAAACACTTTTTAAAAGTGGTAAAAAGTAACACTGCATTTTCTTCTTTCTTTTGGCCTCTTAGATAACCATCCTGCTGTCCTGGTTTTATCAGCCTACTGTTAAGTCTGGAGGTTTAAGTAGGAAAAAAACTGAACACTGTCCGGCCCCCTCTCAATGACCGCTGTGGAGTCGGTCAGAATGGTCGCTGAGCAACAACATGACACTTGTTCCGGTTACTCTTTCAAAATAAAAGCTAACGACGAGGCCCACAAAGTGTGATTTTTAAAACTGTTTGTAAACCGTATTTTTAATATGTATTAAAAGTTGTCTACGCCCTTCATAGAAACTTAGTTGAAGACTCGCTGTGTGGACTGTTATTAGTTGTGTTTTCTGCACCTTTCTCTGCAGTTCTGTATAAAACTGCTGGACTATTTTCTAATTACAGTCCTGCATTTTTCAAACCCCATATTGGGAATTTTATCGTCCCTGTCAAATATTAATTAATTAATTTTTAGCTCAATCCAGTTTAGCTCTAAAGTAGTACAGCCCTATGATATCCTGCAGATTTGGTGGATTAATAACGATTAACTTTCGCTTTACTATGGTCAAAACGTGAGGAAATGCAGTCTCATGCAGTTCATCAAAGTTCAGTTAATTCTTTGAGGCAAACATGATAAGGCAACTTTTACGTTAAAATCATTGCCACTTAATGATAACACTACTTCTGGTGTTGTACTATCCTGTTCTGTAACTTGACGCAGTTTCGAGCTTGGCAAACAGCCAGGAAGCTGTAGGACAGTGAGGCCACATCTCACCTTGCAGTCTCAGAGGCTAGCACACACACACACACACACACACACACACACACACACACACACACACACACACACACACACACACACACACACACACACACACACACTTACTTGCAGGAACAATATGTTAACAAGACCTTTTCATAACATTTCGTTCCTAATTAAACACTCTCTTAAATCTATTCTGCTCAGCTTATCATACACTTGAACCAAAGCTTAATTATGTCTGTTTTCTACTTCCCCCACACAAGAGGACATTCAGTCTTCAGTAGAGCCCCACACAGATATCTGTGTGCATGTGCCAGCCCACATTACTGCTTTGTTTAGACACACAGTAGCACAACAAAAACCCACTGGTGTCTCCCTCTGGACCTGAACACATCCCTGCCCAACAGCGAGGAAACTGAGCAGAGGCCTGATCTCACCTTGCAGAGTCTGCACTGACCTCCGCCGTGCTGACTGCTGGGAGGTCAGCTGTACTCTGATGTCCTTTTCATTCCGCTCAGATCAGCTGAGAGTGTTTCAATCGTACTTATCCTTTTATGTGCACACAGTCTCTGACTCTGCAGGGTTAGGCTGACCACATTTCCGAAAACAGAAAATCTGATATTAATTCAAAGGTCAAAGCACAAACCAGTCACACCTGCTAGTTTTTCCCATGTTTATACTCATAAAGTAACAGATTAGGACAACAGGGTAATGAGGCTGTCTCTCCTTTTGTTAACATGAGAAGGTTGAACAACAGAATCTGTAAAAGCCTGTCAAAAATAAGACATTTTATAGTGAAAACCCCTGGACATTTAATCTGGAGGTAAGGGGTCTGAGGGTCCTTCCTCACAAAATTGTGAGCATTAAACACTTAGTATTCACCCTGCATTCTGGTAAATATTTATGCAACATTTTAGTAGTTGAAGTTAAATTCTTCAGAAGAAAAACACAAAATTATGAATACAGGTTACACAAAAAAAAACTAATTTCAGTTAGATTCAATCTGTTATTTTACACATGGTTGTTCTTAAAATGAATAGCTAAATGTTAATCAAATGATAGAAAAGACTGGTTTAATATTTAAATTAAAGAAACATTTGAGAACATTAAATTATGCTCACAAACATTAAGTGTCAACTTAACATGTATATTCCCTGAGAGGGGAGAGAGCTTGAGAACTAGAGAGATGGACAGAGGTTAGATTGATGCACATAGCTGAAGCAGCTGGAAATTAGACAGGTCCATGGCAGCAAAATGTCTGCGGTAATGATCCAGAGGAACCTACAGGATGATGGAGCACTGGGGCTTGTTGTTATCATTGCAACTTGTGGGCTTACTTCTTGACTGTGGCGGAGAAGCACAAGTAAAAATGCCTCAAAATAGAAACGTGTATTTGTGTTGAGCACTTAAATGACTACATGTGCTTCTACAATGATGAAAGATGTCAACAAAAGTCCAAACCCTCATCATTCAGGATAGTTGTAGGCTAATTGATAATACATTTGATAGATAGCTCTGGTGCAAAAATAACCTGGTGCAGGCGTGGCTGTGCAGTTTGCCGTAAGGCCGTATGTTGCACATCATGAAGTAGTTCAGAAGTGTTGCCTCTAATGTAAACAAAGAACAAGTCAGCACACGTGACACTCGCCCACTCATCCCACTTTGAGGTTTCAGAGTTGCCTTTGTCTAATTGTCTGTGCTGTCTGGGTAACCCTGAGTGAGCCCAAAACTTACCCTGAACTAGCCCCTAAGAAGAAGAAGAAGAAGAAGAAGAAGAAGAAGAAGAAGAAGAAGAAGAGGAGAGGGCTGGTTTAAATGTCCTGACTTCACAAACATGTCCTCGTTTTAAAGAATAAAAAGTTAAACTGTTTCTCTCATAGATCCTGTAAATCAGCAGCCTGAAATGGCAGTAAACATTTCTCCTGTTTGCTTTTTCCACTACCCTCATTATGTCTATGTTTAGGGTACAAACTGGAGCATGAGTTTACTGGCATCAGGATCAGAGCGCAGATAAAATACCTCCACTTTGGACAATAAGTGTTTACAGTGAAAGCAGGTAAAGGATGTGGGGATCAGGTTAGAGAGTTGATACTCAAAGCAGAGAAAGATGTTTGACCTACAGAGGAGATCCCACTTACAGTCACCTGTGTGACCAAAACAACTCTGGATGCCCTTCGAAATAAAGCTGTGGTAACATGGGCACTGGAAGAGGGGGTTCTGATGGTGCCTCGACCCTTAAAATCAGACAAAATAAAACTTACAGCTTATAAAATATATTCAACTGTGATTTGCTGTAACATACTTCCTTTACAGTAAGTGACTCAAAGCTGGTAGGAGTTTCTTCTTCTGATAAACCCACTTAGTACATGAATTTTAAAAAAAAATGTTTAAAGGGATACTTCAGTATTTTTTAAGGAAGGTCTTGCATGGAGGTAGGCTTTGAAAAGACAGATTGCTGCTTTAAAGATGATAAAGCGTCCCAAAATATCAGGGTATCATCTTTTAGCCACTTTCTTCAACTTTTACCTTATCAAAACACTCTATTTATACTGTTAAAATGGAAATAAACTCTACAGACAATACTCTGTCAGATAATCTTGGGTACTTGATGCTTAAAATTATCTCAAACTGAGATGTGAAAATGTCAAAGTTTGAAACATAGAAGGGACTTAAACATCCAAAACTGTCTGTCATCTGATAAGTGCACAACAGGTTGAAATACAAGTGTGTGTCATGTTTAAGAATAGTGAAAAGGTGATTGGGCTTTCTGACCTCAGAAGGCTGAAAAATGTCTAAATAGAGTGTACACTCACTCTGAGAATGGTGCTTTGGTTTGACTTGATTAGAATAGATAAATGATGTGGTAGATCTGACCCCGTCTGCAGCTGTTGATAGCCTAGCTTCTGTTTCAGTTCTCTGGCTGGTTTCTAAACATATGCCAGTTTCTCCTCTAACTAGTACACTTACTATTGACAAGTCCTTCATACAGTGACAGTTTTTTAATCTTTTGGCCCTTTCTGGGAATAAATACTTCAATTAAATATCACTAACTAAGATCTTTGATCACCACAGTTTGTATATATGCTGTACACACACAACGAAAAACCATGGGAGCTCCGAGAGGCAGCGTTTGCACATGTAAGCAAATGTGTGTTTCGTATACACGAGAATGCAAACAGGGCAGAGGAGAGACAAAGGAAGGGGAGGAGAGGAGGAGCAGCTCAGATTTCACTGATCTGGTAAAGGTGGTGGAGAGTAGATGAGAGCTTGCGGGTTTTTACTGCGCACACACAGAGCTACAGCTGATCAGAGGACTGCCCAGCTTTGGTGTCAATTTATGGTGTTCAACTGAAATAAATATCAGATTCAGAATTTATGACAAATACTGATGATGTACAGGAATAAATGCAGTCTCATTGCTTATTGTTTTTGTCGAAACGTATCAGATTTCTCAGGACTGAAATATCTGAGACCCAGCCTTCTTGAGGACAGGGTAATGGGACTAATGAATTGAAATTCCTGAATTGCTTTTTTATGTTATCCAAAAGCAAACATGATCATCAGCAACAAGACTGATGATTTTCAAATTATAATTTTTTTTGTGCCTAAAACTGGAGTGAAAGGGTGAGTGTCAGCAGAGCAGCTGTCGGAACCGTCCTGTTTTTATGTTTTTCACATAAAATCGTAGAATAAGTAATAGATTTGACCTCAGGTCCTTTCTCCTTGACTGACTGACTAAAGACACGTGCAGCATCCTGCACCACTGCAAAGATTACTGTTGTCAGTTTTCTTCCACATATCACTGAAGCAACGCTGATCTGATGACAGTTAAAATTTTAACATGTAACTACAAAACATTACAATCGTACAAAGGGTAATCAAAACACAAAAATAATCACAGGAATGAAACCAAATAACACTGATCTGTTTATATAGAAGATGATTTTACAAAGTTCAGTGCTTGAAACCATCAACCAAAGCTAATGAATGATCGGTGTAAATCAGTCTTCAAATCTCAAACTAAGTCTTTATTTTGTCAAATTCGTAAGTGACTGAAATGAGACATCATCTGTGAGTTAAAAGCAGGTGTGAGGTTTGGAAATAGGTTTTCAGCCTCCTCTGTCCTTAGATCTCTGTCTCTGGTTTCTCTAACAATTCCTCATCGGGGAGGAGTTTACATGGAGGAAATTGTCACAAGTGAGTGATACGAGGAGACGAGTTGAGGAGAAGATCATGTTTATTTTAAAACAAGATATCTTTAAAAGAGCAGTTATTTAAGACCTTTGAGTAGGTTATACACATCTTGCCTATTTCTAATGTTAAAAAAGAACTGAAAAAGAAATCAGAAAAAAAGGGAATTTTGTGTCACAGTTTGAGTGTTGATTTGTATTAAAATAGCACCATCTAGTGGAGAAAACAGCAAACAGTCAGGGTGCAAAACATCGGTCCACCTGTGCATGCAGAGATTCTGATCGGATCAAACATCAACTCTGAGTGAACTAAGATTGAGACCTTTAGTCTAAAGAATCAATGTCATCTAAAATTCACACTTTAGTATTTACATTTTCACCTGATCAGCAGAAATCAACCATAACTGTCTGTGGTTTAAACTCTACTGTGATGAAGGTGTTTTCTTTTACACTACAGCTGTCAGCTAAATTCAAGCAGATTGTAAGTTTAACAACTGGATGAAAACTACTGAAGAAAGGTTAAAAAGTACGTATGTTAAATTGATCAGTAACCAACAGAGGTACAGGCTCAAATGTTGTATTAAAACTGGCAGATTATCTGAATCAGCATTTTGTTTTGCAAACAGACAACAAATTTTGTATGTTTCTATCACAGGATCAAGAAGATAAGATACTACAAATCTTTATTCATCCCATGGTGGGGATATTTGCAGTGTTAACAGGATCAGCACAGCAAACATAGAAGAGTAAGTACACTCATCATGCACACAGTGCACAGATAATTAGTAAATAGATTGTGCAGTTATTGGAGCTCCTCCCTGTAGTCTGTGCATTTGATCAATACTACATTGATGGACCATAAGAATACCCTGCAGCATACATTTGATTGTAATTATTATTAACTAGTATTTGTATCTAAATCACAGTATATTTTCGTTCCGAGAGTGTAAACTAAAATAAACATGATGGTTGTATTTTCGTCAGTGTGGCTCATCGATGCTCTGTGTGAAGTCTTCTCCAGTGTACAGCCCATAGTGAAGGATATCTTTCTGAGCTGCAGCCCACGCCATCTGCCTGCTGGAGAAGCGAGCAGCCCAGTTACCCTGAGGGTCCACTGTCACCACCCCGCCAAGACCCCCGACCCTGGACTTCATGAAGGCCAGAGCTGAGTCACTCGCTGCCTCTGCTGACTGACCTGAGAGCAGAAGAGAGGACGCAGATAACAAAGCGCAAATCTACTCCTGCATGCATCTCATGTGTGCATATTTTACAAATGTGCCAGTGTGTGTGTTTGTGTGTTACCTTGTTCCATGTGGAACAGGATGAGTCGGGCAAGAACAACCTTCATGATGGCCTCCCCATGGCCTGTGGTCGACACCGCTCCTGAGTTGTTGTCAGCATAACCTCCACATCCTGATATAAAAACACAAACCACACACATTGTTTTAATTGTACTTATTTAAAGCTCATGTGAGGAGTTTTTTGATACATAAAAAGTAGACTGATATTCATAATGATGCCCTTTAATGAAGGAAACAAAACCTAAACTGACGAGAATGACAACTTAAATATTCTCATTGTTTGATGCCTGTGTGAGGACGCAAGTGTCAGTTTAAATATTTACAGCAAATCATACACTTGATCGTCAGTCAGCAGGATGAGCCTTTTAATCAGAAGACACTCGTTAAACATGTGTCATGTTTTAACAGTGAAATGTATTACTGTGGAAAACCTGAGGTGAGGTATTTTATAAGCTGCACAGTTTTGCGGCAACCTCACTTCTTCTGCTTATGTTTTTGCAAAGGTCACATGACAAGCACTGCATGGCGTGAGCAGATTCCAATGAATGTTTTCACATGGTTCTTTCAGGTGGGTGTGGCCATACAGCGAGAAAAATGCATGTGTGAACCTTTAAGTGTAAAAGATAAGTGTTATTTTTACACACATTTTTTGTGTTTTATTCCCTGAGTTGGTCAGTACTAAATGATCGACCTTAAAGCTCAAACATTTTATCATCTGTTTTGCTCTGGTCTGGTCAGATGTCCGAGGCTGTGTCTGACTCATGGATCTGAGCTCAAACCGAGTGGTGGCAGCAAAGTCTAGTCTCTCTGAATTTTCTGCAATTTTTGCTCTATTTTTTCATATTTTTGTCGTGTTTTTTTTTCAGCTGCTGATGGATATTTCAGCAGGAAGTAGAGTTTACTCAAGAGAAAAGCTTCTTCCATTGAGACAGAGCAAACCTGGACAACAACATCCAATCCCAGAGAACATCAGGAGGCGTTATCGTGGTTGCAGTGCTGGTGCACAGATGAAGGCAAAGTTGAAGGCTACAGTAATGTAGCCTGGCTGGGCCATCCTGTTGCGTGAATCACTTGCCGTTCCTTCCCACAACAGTCTGGACTTCGGCCAGTTGGGAGCGAGTATGGGAAGGAACGGCAAGTGATTCACGCAACAGGATGGCTCAGCCAGGCTAATAGTAATGGAGATATAAACCCTTTCTTCCATCAGTTATCATGGGAAATGTCAACTCTCCGCCCAACAAAAGCGATAAGCTGGAAATATTGGTGAAGACTGAGAAAGCATACCATAAGTGCAGTCTCCTGAAGTAAAGTGTCTTACACTGCATACTGACTCCCTGTACACATGCAGACATGTAAGGCGTCTGCACAAACTGGTAAAACAAGCTAGCTCTGTAGTTGTTATCAAGTTGGGTTCAACTGAGGATGTGGTGGAGAAATGCAAACTGAAGAAGGTGGAGACTATTCTAAAGAACATGGATCACCCACTTCACCTTGATGGACCAAAGGACCAATGGTGGAGGACGGTTCCTCTCACTCTACTGCAGCTCAGAAAGATTTAGATCTTTTGTACCCACAGCCATCAGACTATTTAATTCTTCGATAGATAGTAGATGTCATGAGACTCCAGACAATTGAATTCCCCTTTGGGAATCAATAAAGGTCTTCTTATCTTATGTTATGACAGTCAAATCACTCATTGACTGATGGTGACAGATTAGATGGCTGAAGTGGCCAAATTCCAATCAGTGCTGTTTACTGAACCTCCAGCTGAAATGACTTTGAGATGATTCAGCTGCTGTCACACCAGATGTACACTTATCATTTTAAATAAGACCCTTTGAATGTTGGCATACTACCGAGGCAGCATTAGGGTTATTAAAATAGGACAGTTAATGCCAAGTCTCTGTGATGTGATAACTTTAAACCAGTATCACGACGAGTTCAGACAACAGGAAACGCAGACTTTTTATAACCCATGATAACAACTAGATTCACGTTTTACAACTGGCTCTATAAATGGGTTCTTCCAAGCCATTTGCACACTTTTATACATTGGTTACATAGAAAGGGTGTGTGCTGTATTTTGTGAGCGCTGCCACCCTAGAGCCAGTTCATGCCCACTCTATTGTTTGTATGCTATGCACCCCAAAAATCTGAAAATAGTTATAAAACAAAGAGGCCCTTTAAGAGCAGAATAATGACCCAAATTAGTCCACATTCATAACACTGTTAAGGTCAGGCTTTTAACTGGCTAAATCATGTGGTACAGTTGGCCCACTTTTAGCGGTTCACGGCCTAGCTACCATGCAGTTCTCTGTACAGTTGACTGACACAGGAACCAACCTGCCTGAAACAGCACCTAATACAACCTCACTTTAAAAACACTGAACTATCCCTTTAAGATCTCTTGATTTGATCACAATCTACAAAAAAAAAACAAAATACAAAAAGCTCCTAAAAAACATGTCAAATTGTTTTCAAATCCAACTCTGTTTTCTCAGCATCCTTTTGAACTTTTTTTGCAAGTAAATCAGAGTAAAAAGTTTTTATTTGGGGATTTTACTGCTGCGTTAATACTGACTTGACAGATTTGGTGGTACTGCCAATCATCAGAGACAGCTGAAATGAAAACTGGAATTGAAAATTTTGGCTTACAGGTCACCAAAGCAGGAACTGGTCAGCTAAAAGAATCTGATGACTGTTTTCAAAGTCAAAGCAGACACTTCCTGGATGAGGCTGTGAAAATAGCAGAACTGTGTGCACTTCCTGGTGATGTTGTGAATCCAGACAGAGTTTGGTTTTCTGACAAGCTCGGCATTTCTGACTTGTTTTTCAACAATCTGGATAACTACAAAGTTTCACTAAGGATGTCCCAATCCTCATCGATCCTCATCTGAGCTACCTCACCCTGATCAATCACATCAGCTATCACACATGCATACAACTTAATGCAACTAAGAGCTCAGGATTCACCTACTCTAAGTGTACAGATTTCACAAGAGAAAAAAGGAATGGTGTGTCGCTAAAGCAACGGCTCAAACTTTGCTGCTACAAAAAGCGCTACTTCAAGGTTCATGACAATATACATAACAAAGGTCATTTAAAGCATCCTATGATTCCTGTTAGTTTTGCACAATCATAATTTATCCATTAATCAAACTTTTTTTATAATGCACTTGACATACACAGAATTAAGAACAAAGTGCTGTCCATTCAAGCAGAATATTGAAATACAATACTCTTAAAAACTGATACTCTTTAAAAATAAAAATAAAAACTTTTAGGACAAAGTTAAAACCAGGATGATGACTAGGACACCCCAAACTGTAACACACTCAAACTTGCAAAAGTAGTCTCAGGTGAATCTTTGCTCAGCTTTTGGTCTGGACACACAACAGATTTACAGACTGTTAACTGAACGAGCTTTGGACACAATGTTTGAAGTAAAAATTAAAAGCTGCACCATGTTGTCAACCTACAACACTGCAGCTTTTGTTTACTCAATAACCACACATCTATGTTCTCCTGATCAAAGGTCGACCAGTCGAGCATTTCTCAGACTATCATGTCAGTTAGTCTTTATCTTTCCCGAGCAAGTACTTAAAAACTGCTTATAAAACATGATGACATAAACACTGAAGCCTGTTTGAGAGCTAAAAAATCCGAAAAGACAAAGACAGCTCTCTGTAAGTCATTGCTGTGGCTCATGTTAACTGAGGCGTTACAATTATCTGACATGTCTGACTGTTCAGACTCAGCAGCAGAGAACACATGAGCAGTGTTGGTTATTTCTATTTATTCTATTTAATAATTTGATGCATGACTAAAAAGTTGTATTTATGAGGACTTACCTACGCACGGTGTGTCGCCCACTCGTCCCTCCATCTTGTTCAGAATTCCTCCAGTGGAGGTGGCACAGGCGACCACACCCTCACTATCAACCGCCACAGCCCCAACTGTGCCCATCTTCCCCCTGCACATACCAAAAAAGAGGGACACTTTTGAACATGGTTTGAAGCCTGAGTTCATTTACCGCATGAAAAATAGAAGCTGCTGGTTGACCACTTTGTTGAAAAATATATCCTTCTTTAAAACTTTATAAACTATTAAGTGGTTTCTTTTCTTTATTATATCATCAGATCAAAATATTGGAATAAAAGAGCTTCCTCTTTCATGATGGGTGCAGCTGTCGACAGCTGGTCTCAGCAGCAACAATGAATTCCAACCATGACCTGGAGTCACCACCCAAAAACCTGTCTAAACATCTGTAGAGGCTCCTCGAACCATCACTGCTGTGGATTCCTGGGCTCGGTATGATTCAGAAAGTCCTCCCTCAGGAAGGGACTGATCACTGTGTCTCATGAATCATTTTTAAATGATCAAATATTTTTCTGGGTAAATGTGTAAAGTCTCACATTTGGCACTCCACAGGGTTGGCATCAGGAGCCAGGTTCTTCCTCCAGCGCATGCGGGCGTAGTCCGTGATGAGGGACTCCATGGGCACCTCAGGGACACCCATAGAGCGGGCAAATTGAGCGGCACCCTCTGCCGTCAGACATGCGTGACTTGTCTGAAACAGAGATCACGTATTAAATCACAGCTCTGCACTGGATGAAGAATCCTGGTTGGTACACAATAAAACTGCAAACACATGCAGGTCATATCTAATGACTTTACTAACTACATATTTGCATTTCAAAAGGTATGGTGCCAAAGCTGCTACACCTGTTGGACCAGAGTCAACACCCAAGAATAACAGACAAATGTCTGTGCACTTGTGCAGCTACATTTGTCTGTAGATATTACTAAACACATGTCAAACATATGACATATGTGTGCGCTGCTTTTTGCTGGCTGGTGAGCTCTGCTGTTGGCTAGTTTAAAAAGTATTTTGGGCCCATGACCCAACCATCAGGCTGAATCAACATCCCATGCTAAGGCTATATAATCACAAATCTGAATATTTACATTTGTTGTGGGTGCAAGCAATAAAAATAGGGATGTCGATTTTGTTGTTGGGTATCACTCCAATATCAGCAAAAAAACAAATACCAGATTTCAGCACTCCAATTCAAGCAGTCCATTTCAGACTCCACTCTGGCACCCTCTATCTAGCAGCGCCCGGATCTAGCATGCAGAGCCCACGTAATCGCAACAACAGTGTGTAGTAAGGCACCAATGTAGCAAGGAGCAGGGGTGTCATCACATCAGTAGCTACAGCGATGTGTTATTTCACACGCGATTTAATAAAACCTTCAGTGCATCATATTCAAAGAAAGTCACCTTGTCCATCACAAGTCTTGCTAGCTGGATGGGGTTTGCGATATTGCGTACAGCAGACACTGCACCAGTCGCCAGAGTTTTACCATCCATCACAAAGGCATCCATCTCCACCTCCCCCTTCATGTTCAGCACCGACCCACGGCCTGAGGGATGAAATGCAAAACAATTGATCGACACTCACCTCAGTAGAAAAATGATATTTATGAAGCGTTTGTATGTTATATAAGATACATTAATTATTGCAAAAAAGCAGCAATAACAGACTTTGATGTGACACGTTTCTAAAAGTTCAACAAGTCAGCCCTTCATCTCCTGAGCTATAAGTACAATTCTTACATAGTGATGTTGTTTATTTTAGCTTATAGCAGGGCTAAAATTTGTACACTCAAGACAAGTGCAGTGGAATGTAAAATGAAAATGCAACTCTGCACTTATAAAGTGATTTAAGATAAATGTGACTATTTATGAGTGAAATCCTCTTGCCTGCATTATAGGCAGGGTTATTCTCCAACTGTGTCACAACCTCCACCACAGCGTCCATGCTGCTGCCCCCTCCCTTTAGGACAACATATCCAGCTCGGGTTGCTGCACACACTCCTGATATGGATATATCTGAGCGCTCCTTTGGGATATGACCCGCCCCTCCATGGACCACCACCACGGGCAACATGTCGATCACCTGACAGGTAAAGAAGCACGTGTAAGGTGTAACACATGGTGTGGAAACAGTTTTTATTCAAACAAGCAGCTGATGTGAGCGGCTTTTTTGCACATCTGTTGTACTGAATAAAAAGCAAGAAACAGATTAAGTTAATTAGTAACAAAATATTATAGGTTTTTTAATAAGTTTGAACACTGTGCTGTGGTTGGGGACCCTATATGTACTGTTGATGAAGTTAGGTGCTGTTCTGAGCATTATTTGTGGCTATAGAGTGGCTTTTTGGTCGAGCGCGTGGCTCTGTGTATTGCTATCGTGCGGTCGTTACTAAAGTTGTTATAACTAGAGAATCAAGCGGTCTGCAACATTCATCTCTCGTCGGGGTATCAAATTCAGTGGCACGGTGTAAATTTTATATTGCCCCAGAATATTCCTTTAATTCTATTAATCTGTGTGTATGCCCACATATGCTGGCCTTCCCTGCCCGAGTCGCTGCCTGTGCTGGGCCACCCTACACAAACACCCTGGACACGCCCCTGACAGTGAGACACTCAGATAAAACCTCTTCTCAGTCCAGAATTTTAATAATTGAAGAAGCACTTGAATGCACCATTTTACCAGCACGTTGTTGGTAAAAAAAAGTAATAAGCTTTCTTTAAATGCATAATGTCACAATGCGGTTTAAACTAAACTGCAATCAACCTCACCTGGAACAATGTAGGTCAGAATAACGAGTCAGCAATGCTGAGTCAGCATTTCCTCATAATAACATTGTGTTTTTATGTACCTGGTGGATAAGAATAATAAAAACTAAAATAATAAAAAAATATATATACATTTTACAATAAATTAATATTTTTTATTATTCCAAGAGCGCAAACTGATTCAAACGTAAAGTAATTAAGTACCACAAACATGATTTTAATCATGAACGAGCATTACGGGGTTCACTGGGGAAACTCATGTTAAAAATAAGAGGAGGTGCATTAAAAACAGCTGATTTCAGATCAAAGCCAGAACACGCACACTGTGGTGTTTTCACTAATGAAACCCCAACACTAAATAAAACGGGGTCCAGAGATGTGCGAAACAAACGCATATTAGTAGATATTTTCATTGAGATTATGAATCCACCTACCTGCAGCGGGACTCTGAGGATTAGAGCGAGGTCTCTTCTTCTACGGCTTGTTTTCTGGTTGTACACACATTTTCTTCTGTGGTGTCTTGACGGCAGGTTGATTTTACTAAACTGCATTACTGCCACCCTATGGTCATATTCTCGTTCATCGTCCACTGAAGAAGAAAAATAAAGTAAAATATGAATCAATCAATTACTCAAAGGAAAAGGAATGAAAGCAAAGGAAAGGAAAGGAATGGAAACGAAAATTATATAAAATGAAAAAAAATTATAACAAATAAAATATACATATATAAAAAAATAAAAAAAAACACCCACACTGTTCTATTTATCATAACCCAGCCAACATTGCAACAATCAACCAGCACACACACATCCAGACAATCAGACCTCCTCCTTTAAACACCAATTAGAAACTAAAGTTGTCATCAGCAGATCTCACAAAATCTGACTGCAAATCCATTTAGCATTCATAAAAATCTTCACAGTCACTGTATCTAACTATGGCACTAAGTTTGAAACCTTATTACTCTGCCTTGTTGAACTAAACTCTTTATTGTATTCCTCCAAAAGCTTTTTTTTTTTTTTGTCTGTGTCCTCCTCTTTTGCCAACATGCCCGCACCACCCTTAATGTTGGAGCCATGACCTTTTGATTCACTGCGGTCACTGTGTGCCAGTTGTTTCTGACATAACCCCGAGTGCATTTAATCTGCTTCCACTTAGAGGGCACACACTGGCAGACTTCAGACTGCTCCTAAATAGACTATAAAAAAAACAGAGATTATACAATATCTGCAGTTTGCTGCTCTACTGTGCTTGCTAACAGGTTTAACTGCTGACCATGTACTTCCAAAGTCAAACCTTGATCCAACAGAAATATACTCCACAGATTAAAAAAGCAGGTCCCCGATTCAATCCTAAGTAAGACCTCCTGACATTAGTGAGTGGATTGTTTATATGTTGTCTTCATGAAAGTCTCATATCAAATACACCTCCTAAATGTATAAATTGGCATTACTTCACATGATTGACTTTGATTCATGAGAAGAGTATCTTAAAAAGAAAATAATTCTTGATTTAAAAAGTTGCATCAAATCACCCATGACTCTTATGTTCCTGTCTATAATACATAAAAACACACATTTTATTTGAACGTGAAAACAAAAAAGATGCAAAGAGGAGAGGATACATTGTGATGGAGATAAAGGGGCTCTCGTAAGTTAAAAAATATTTTTATTAGCTTATATTCACATTTGACTGTTAGAAGCAAAACAGTAACCAACAGCTTTTCTGTGTACTCATACTTTTTTTTAGAAGTTTTCAAAGTCAGAGCTTTGCTTTTACCAAGGTATTTTCTGTGGAAAGTATTGTTCACCAATTGTGTGACCTTTTCTGATTTGGCTTTATGGTCAACTATGACCGAGCAGGGTAGCAATCTGGGAGTATTACACCAACTCTGAGAAAGATCAGCAGCATGTTAAGAGGGATTATATAATCTAATGACGAATTTGAAAAAAAAGACTCAAAAACAATACACAGACGTCAGGCAAAAGACAATGTCTGAATTGACATTCAGCTTAATAGTTTTTTCTACACTGACCTTGATTTTCACAATTGGTTCATCAAACCTTTTGAAAGGTAGGCATTACTGGTTTTTCTTTCACAATGGGAAGTTCGTTTTTTTATTTTATGTTGCTCAATGTGGTAAAGGCCAATCAAACACTAAATCAGCAGAACAATCAAGCAACCAGAGTGCATGGGTGGAAGAAGCCCCTGGTGTATATGGCTGCAGGTTACAGCAGGTGTGACCAAACTGGTCCAACCACTTTGAAATGAGATGAATCATAAAGAGACAACAAACACTTTTATAATCAAACTGGTTTCACAAAGCAGCTCTAATACAATAAACAGAATACTGAGCAGCCACCTAATTAATCAACATGAACGGATCTGGTTACATCTGAACATATCACAGACTACTAGCATGGTTCATACAGCCCCGATCTGTGAGATAATAATGTTTTACAAGGACAAGAAAACCTTCCTCTTATTTTATCTGATTTAACACACCTTTTTTTCTGTTTAAATAAACACCCCCTTGAAAAGAAATGTAATTGTTGAAATGTAATGGTTGAATTTGTATGTGAACTCTCTTTGGTTCTCTCCCTGACCATTACTGCCCTACATAAGAAGCTCCTCTAGACTGAGTGAGACTGGCTGAGTGAGTTATTCAAGGGTGCATTCGCTTTTTTTCAAACACCAAACAGTAAAGGTTCATGTACACGGCTCAATCTGCCGAAACATTAGACATTTGTCAGTTTCACAGTTAAAGTTTAATCTCTGTGAAAATCAAAAACTTTGTCAAAAGTTTGTTTTTCTTCGGGAAACAAGACACAAAGTTTTGAATTTTGTAACCACGTGCTGGCTAAGTTAATATTTTTTATGAGTAGTAAAATGTAGTTAAACATTTTATAGGAAAATATGGTAAATTAAGTGAAGTAGATCAAAAGATCCTCAAAAGCTAGACATCATGCTGAGATCTAAAGAAATTCAGGAACAAATGAGAGAAAGAAATTAAAATCTATTAGTCTGGAAAAGGTTATAAAGCCATTTCTAGAGCACAACAACTACTCATCCAAGAGGTCACAAAACAACAACAAAAACATCCAAAGACCTGCAGACCTCACTTTCCTCAGTTAGAGTCAGTGTTCATGACTCCACCATAAGAGACTCTGGGCAAAAGCAGCCTGCATGACAGAGTCACAAGACGGAAACCACTGCTGAACAAAAGAACATTAAGGCTCGTCTCAATTTTGCCAGAGAACTGATTTTAAAAGTGTTCACGTCTGATTTTAAAACTTTCTAACCTACTGTGCATATTATCAAAATAAAAAACTGACATCCAGAGAAAAGTTTTTGATTCCATTTAAACAAAACTTTATTTAAAAACAGAGTCAAGTTGACAAGTTTTACCAAACACAATCACGGTATTTCACTGTCAGTTATTGACTCAGACAAAATATGTGAAAAGTTAGTTATATGTGTAATACAAATGCAAAAAAACATGGAGCAGAGAGAGGAATAAAGCATGACAGAAAAATGAACAAAATAAAGACAAAGCAATATGAGCAAAATAGAATATGTGCATCCAAAAAGATGACATTTAAGACAAGCTTTGTGTACAGAGTGAGTTTGGTGGAGGTAGAGATGAAAAACCAGCTGGGGAAAAATATAGAAGGAAAAAAATACCCCAGTGGACAAAAAGCTCTCTACATGCTGTCACAGTTTCAGCCTCCATTTAACAAAGTTTAAGCCATAAATGAAGCTCAGATTAAACATTTAGTTTTACAAATATAATGAGAAATCAAATTCAGTACAACACAAAAACCACTTGGTTACAATTGTAAGACGACTCTACTAGCTGTAGATCTTACAGGTTTGCACCAAAGAAACTCAAATGTTAGCAAGTTTAACAACACATCATCTGGTCAAACAGATGAGTAATTTATAATAGATTCATCAGTACAGAACTATCCTCTATGACCCTTGTGTCACAGACAGGTCATCCATCTTCATCACTGGGTCCTCAGTCGAGACTCGAGTATCCTCCTGTAAATGAAGAAAACTGTCATGAGTGAATATTCTGCCTCGTTTTCATTTAGTTTTCTATCAGTCAGAAAAGGTCTCAGTGATAATCCTATAATGTCAATAATACTGATAATGTCAGCGATATAAAAGGTGGAGGAGATCTATAAAGTGACAGTGACATAGCAAAGCTTGCACTCTTCATGGGTTGTGGAGGTTTATCTGTGCCCATCGAGTAAAAACATCCAACTATTATCATCTTAACGGACTCATCTGTTAGAAGGATTTAAGAAAGCTGCTCATGTGTGCTCCCCAAAGTAGAGCCTGAAAGAGAAAGGCGCATTCACCATGTCCTGAGTAAGGGTTTTCTGGACGAGGTTGAAGGTCTACGGGCTTACAGTGAGACAGGAAGTCCGCCTGCAGGGTGGTGACTACAGAAGGCAGACAGGGATCAGATCCAGTTAGTGGACTGTTAACATCAATTTATCACCATAAAACTTTGACTGAAACAAGCAAGACCACTCGCAAAGATTGACTTACCTCTAATCAGGGGACCAAGTCTTTGTCTTCATTCTCCAGCCGGGTCCTGGAGCAAGAGGGGGTCATCGACGTCTCGGTGTAGTCCTAAAACAAAAGGACAAATTTATTCTTTAGACCGGCACAGTTTTTAACCTATAAGTGAATCATTATCTCTGTTTTATGTACCGGTTTCTCGGGGATGGTGCCCACGGCATCTGGTAGAGTCTGATGGTGTCCAGAAGCAGGTTTCTGTGGTGGTGCAGACTTCAGTTAAAATGGGGTCCAGAATGAAGAAGATCCGTCCCTCAAAGTGGGCAAAGCACTGGTGTTTGGGAGAGATTAAAATTGGCAGGGGTTAGGAAATCTGGATGCATTAGATAAAACTGCTGTACCAGGTTTTTTTGTAGGTGGTGGAATCTGTACTCCATGCTCACCTGTAACCCAGTATGCAGGAGCTCAGAGTCCAGCAGGTGATGGGGTCTGCCAGGGTCTTCTTGGATGTAGACTGTAACAACACAAGATAGATTTTGGACAGATTTAAATTCAATTTTCTCTTGGGCGTCTACAAACCCCCAGAAAAGCTGGAGTGTTTGGACCTCGGTGAAAACAACTACAAGAACTTTGAAAAGTTTCTCAAAATCATTAAAAGAGAACTTCAGAAACCTTCAGCTTGACGGTGACTCTTAAAAACTTCCCAGTCTGGATGGAGGAGCAGCTCATCGAAGTGGGGCAGCATCAGATCCTCCCAGGACCTGGTGGTGGTCAGCACATCCAACGCCACGGCTCAACATCTCCGTCATGTTTAGGCGAAAAGCAGAGACATACATGTGCAGCCAAAGGGAGGCATAAAAACCTCGTACAGAATAACAGGACACAAAAAACCATGACAAGTACAGATCTCAGATTTTCACAGAGACTGGAGGGTCAAAAGAAACTAATCAAGAAGAGAAAAAAAACACAAAGAAAACAAACATCTCAGATTTTTACAGAGACTGGAGGGTCAAACAAGAAACAAAAAAACATTTTATGGTTACAGTTCATTGTCCCCCTCATTTAAGTTGAAGCTGTAGAGGAGACGTTGGTGAGGCCTGAAGTTGAAGTTGATGTTGAGGTTGTCCTTGTTGAGTTGGTTTCCTTTTGGAGAACTGAGTGAACTTTGCCGATTTGTTGTTTCTTTAAGAGTTGTTGTTTTGCTTTTTGGATTTTGTTGTTTTAGTGGTGGGCTCAGCAAGTATTTGGTAAAACTTGCAACTGACATTTTTTTGACATTTTCATGCCAACCAAGTTTCATGAAAACAGAAAAAACCTTTTTAAAGTCATAAAACCCTTTTAACCTTGAGTGATGCTGAACCATTCCCTGGTTGGTTGTGAATTTTCTTTTTTGGTTTGGTTTTTATTTAGTGTTTTTAGCATTTCTTGATTTATTGACTGTTGTCGTTAAACTTTTGAGTTAAAACCACCTTTTGTACCTTGTTGGTGGTTTTCCCTTTTGTCATTGAAAGCACCATTTAAACCTTGTATTACCATTGTGTCCCAGTGAGCACCATTTAAACCTTGTTGATTTGTCCTTTTGTCACTGAAAGCACCATTTAAACCTTTTTGTTGTGTCATTGAAAGCACCATTTAAACCTTGTTTGTGTTACCATCACGTCCCTGAAAGCACCTCATGAGCCTTGCTGTCTGTTTCCATATTGTCTTTGAACGCATCGTTGTGAACCTTGTTGATTTGTGGTTGTGTGGCTGAAAACACTTATTAAACCTTGTTTTTGGTTGGTTTGTTGTGTTTTGATCGTTGAACCTTGTGGTGTTGCATCTTTGCATCAGAGTATTATAACTGTTTCAGCTGTTGTGTTTCAATAGAGACATTCACCTACCTTTTTGATAAAATAACCCACCTTATGGCTGAAATGTTTTTATCGTTCGACTGGGACGTCGGACACACTTCTCCAGCTGGGCTCTTTTCTAGAGGACATCAGGATTTGTTCTGAAAAATAACATATAAAACTATGCCTTTACAGGCACAGAAAATGAGTATGATTGTTACAGACAGAAACACACAAATCTGTACAGTTAAACATCAGAAAAGGCTGCAGCTTCACTTAAGAGCTAATATTCTCCTGCATCCACATCCTTGAGTCACCTGCAAACAACAAAATACTCACAAAATACACAGCTGTAGCATCACCTACTGGTTTTCGAACAGAGGTTATAGTCACGACATTGGAAACACTGACCCAGCCTTACATGTAATCAACATAAAAACAGGCATAGATCGAGCTTAGGTGGGCCTTAACTTTGGTAGAACAGCTGAGGCACACCCACGTCACATTGCGCCTTTGTGAAAACGATTTAATAACCAGAGAAAAGTTGTTTGTGGAGTTGAAGCATTCAGACATTTGGGTGACAATAGGACAGTGTGTTAAGTGGTGTTCCCCATCACATCTTACCTGCAGCACAAGGATGCCTGACTTCGTCTCTTAGAGGTGATCTAGATCCTTCCTGAAGACATTGGTGGTTGCCAGGTTCAACACTGAAGATGCCCACTTCTGTGATGGTTGGGGAAAAGGAGAGAGACACACATACAAATGCAGAAAATACTCAACTTAAAGACAGTGAAGGTGAGGTGCAGCATAAGAAAATCTGTTTGAAACTGAATATGGATGAAGTTATCAGAATGCAGGACCTGGTTTCTTACATGCTTTCTTGTGGTTACTTTGGTGAAAACATAACGTTACCACAATGAAAAGTTCATCTTACCTTCAACAAGATGACCACCCTTGGATTTCCCAGACGGAACAGGAAGGCGGCACTTTGAGTTTCTGCAGCAACAGTTCCTCCAGGAGAAGAGTGGTCACCTTGTCAGACCTGCTGATGTTCGGAGGAAAACAGACATACATACATATGCACTCAAAGAAACATGGCCAAACATACAGAAAATAAATCAGTTTAAAAAAAAAAAAAAGTACAACACATGCAGATCATGACAAGCACAGTTCAAGGATTCCATTTCAGAGATTCAAAGGTTCACAAAAATACAAAGAATAAATAAAAATAAGAAAAACTACAGTTTTAACAAAAACAGTTGGAGGATCTACACAGTTTGTTTATTGTCCTCGTTCTGTTTAGTGTTGACAGTTACATCTGATAGAAACAATGCGCAAATGTTGCTGTCTTGTTGTTTTTTCCGTTGGATCCTTTGGAAGCACTTTGACGGTTGTTGCGATGTTGGTGGTTTTGAAACTTAGTTTTAGTTGATAGTGATTTTGCTGAAGCTGCTTTGACAAACCTTTTGAGAGCAGACTTTTAACATACCGTCTTTGCTTGTTTTAAGAACCAGTTTTTTTAAGCACCTTTTAAACCTTATATTTTGGGTTTAAGATCAAGTCCTTGGAAGCACCTTTTAAAACTTTTTGGGGGTTTGAGGTAAAGTATATGAAAGTACCTTTTGAAGCTTTTTTGGTTCGGGACTAAGGCTTTGAAAACACCTTAAAAAATTTTTTCTTTAAAATTAAATCTTTGAAAGCACCTCTGTTTGCGATCAATCCTTGAAAAGCAACTTTTGAGCCCTTTTTTGTTTGAGTAAAAGTCTTTGAAAGCACCTTTTTTGAAGCCTTTTTTTGAGAACAAGTCTTTGAAAGCACCTTTAGAACCATGTTTCTGGGTTTGAGATCAAGTCTTTTAAAGCACCTTTAAGAACCTTGAATTTGGTTTGAGATCAAGTTTTTGAAAGCACCCTTTTAACCTATTTTGGTTTTTGGTTTGAGATCAAGATTTTTAAAGTACCTTCAAACCTTTTTCTGGTTTGAGATCAAGTTTTTGAAAAGCACCTTCTGAACCATGTTTCTGGGTTTGAGAGCAAGTCTTTGAAAACACCTTTTTGGAACCTTGTTTTTGGTTTGAGATCAAGTTTTTTAAAGCACCTTTTTGACCTTGTATTTGGTTTGAGATCGGGATTTTTAAAGTACCTTTCAAACCTTTTTCTGGTTTGAGATCAAGTTTTTGAAAAGCACCTTTTTTAAGAACCTTTTTTTTTTTTTGTTTGAAATCATACCTTGAAAAGCACCTTCTGAACCATGTTTCTGGGTTTGAGAACAAGTCTTTGAAATAACCTTTTGAACCATGTTTCTGGGTTTGAGATCATGTCTTTTTAAAGCACCTTTTTGGAACCTTGTTTTTTAAAGCACCTTTTGGACCTTGTTTTTGGTTTGAGATCAAGATTTTGAAAGCACCTTTTGTTACCTTGTATTTGGTTTGAGATCAAGATTCTGTAAGCACCTTTCAAGCCTTTTTTGGTCTTAGATCAAGTTTTTGAAAAGCACCTTTTTAGAATATTTTTTTTGTTTTGAAATCATACCTTGCAAAGCACCTTCTGAACCATGTTTCTGAGTTTAAGAACAAGTCTTTGAAAGCATCTTTTAAACCCTTTTGTTTGAGAACAAGTCTTTGAAAGCACCTTTCGAACCTTTTTTGTTTGAGAACAAGTCTTTGAAAACACCTTTGGAACCATGTTTCTGGGTTTGAGATCATGTCTTTTTAAAGCACCTTTTTGGAACCTTGTTTTTGGTTTGAGATCAAGTTCTTTAAAGCACCTTTTGGACCTTGTATTTGGTTGGAGATCAAGATTTTGAAAGCACCTTTCAAGCCTTTTTTGGTTAAATATAAAGATTTTTAAAGCACCTTTTAAGCCTTTTTTGGTTCGAGATCAAGTTTTTGAAAAGCACCTTTTTAGAATATTTTTTTTGTTTTGAAATCATACCTTGGAAAGCACCTTCTGAACCTTGTTTCTGGGTTGAGAACAAGTCTTTGAAAGCACCTTTTGAACCCTTTTTTTTTAGAACAAGTCTCTGAAAGCACCTTTGGAACCATGTTTCTGGGTTGGGAACAAGTCTTTGAAAGCACCTTTGGAACCTTGAATTTGGTTTGAAATCAAGTCTTTTTAAAGCACCTTTTTGGAACCTTGTTTTTGGTTTGAGATCAAGTTCTTTAAAGCACCTTTTGGACCTTGTATTTGGTTGGAGATCAAGATTTTGAAAGCACCTTTCAAGCCTTTTTTGGTTAAATATAAAGATTTTTAAAGCACCTTTTAAGCCTTTTTTGGTTCGAGATCAAGTTTTTGAAAAGCACCTTTTTAGAATATTTTTTTTGTTTTGAAATCATACCTTGGAAAGCACCTTCTGAACCTTGTTTCTGGGTTGAGAACAAGTCTTTGAAAGCACCTTTTGAACCCTTTTTTTTTTAAGAACAAGTCTCTGAAAGCACCTTTGGAACCATGTTTCTGGGTTGGGAACAAGTCTTTGAAAGCACCTTTGGAACCTTGTTTTTTGGTTTGAAATCAAGTCATGAAAGCACCTTTTGAACCGTGTTTCTGGATTTGAGATTGGAAAACACCCCTCAAACCTCTGAGTTTGAAATCAAGATGATCACATATAAAAATAAGGTGATCACCTACCCTCAGAAAGATGACCAACCTTACAGCAGAATCCATGTCAATGTTGTCACGGTGTTCTTGAAGTTCTCGTTGTCCTTCTTGTAGTTCCTCTGGATCTGTTGGTCTTAATTCGTGAGGTTTTTGCAGTTTTAACATTAGCATGATCCTAATACTATGAAAGAATAGGAGTTTAACTGGACATATCAATAAAGCACAGTTGAATACTGTGCACTTGACAAGTTTAGCTGGGTTCATTTTCAGCATAGTTATCCTTACAGTTTTGACAGCTGTTACTGCCACAGCATCAAAGTTAACATTACTGGTTTTTCGTCTTCATGTCACTCCAGACTAAAAAACATTTTATCATTAGGGTTTTTTTGGAGTGTGATCATCATATTTAAGTCAAATGTAAAAGGAAAAAAAACAGACCCAGTCCTGTTCAGAGGTTTCGGCGTTGACACACAGGGTCCACATCCGGTCTTCTTCTACTCCTTTGGTTCTTCTGAGTGGTCTTCTTGTTCTCCGTGATAGTACTGCTGAGAAAAAGCTTTGATTGTTTGGTTTATGCCATTTTTGACTGAGTAGAGGCAATTTATTTTTAGGCTTGATGGTGCTCTTGTTAGATTAGGTGCTTTTGTCAAACTAAAAAGGTGCTTTTGTCAAATTAAAAGTGCTTTTGACATACCTTTTGAGACCAGACCTTTAACATACCGTCTTTGCTTGTTCAAGAACCAGCTTTTGAAAGAAACCTTTTAAACCTTGTTTTTTGTTTTTAAGATCAAGTCTTTGGAAGCAACTTTTACAAATCTTTGTAGAGCTTGAAATCAAGTCTTTGAAAGCACGTTGAGAACCTATTTCTGGGTTTGGATCAAGTCATGAAAAGCAACCTTTTGAACCTTGTTTCTGGATTTGAGATCAAGTTTTGGAAAACACCCCTCAAACCTTTTTTTTTTTTTTGAGTTTTAAATCAAGATGATCACATCCACAAACAAGAAGATGTTCACCTACCCTCAGAAAGATGACCAACCTTACAGCAAAAGCCATGTCAACGTTGTCATGCTGTTCTTGAAGTTCTCGTTGTCCTTCTTGTAGTTCCTCTGGATCTTCTCGTAAACTTTTTGAGGTTTTTGCATTTTAACATTAGCATGATCCTAATATTATTAAAGAATTGAAGTTTAGCTGGACAAATCAATAAAGCACAGTTGAAAACTGTGCACTTGACAAGTTTAGCTGGGTTCATTATCAGCATAGTTATCCTTACAGTTTTGACAGTTGTTACTGCCACTGCATCAAAGTTAACATTACTGGTTTTTCGTTTTCATGTCACTCCAGACTAAAAAACATTTTATCATTAGTGTTTTTTTGGAGTGTGATCAATTTTAAGTCAAATGTAAAAAGAAGAAAAAAACAGACCCTGTTCAGAGGTTTTCTTCTACCTGGGTACTGGTCCAGGTGTAGCGCAGACATCTTCACCCTGCTTCTTCCATGTCTTTCTGGTGTCACCACGCTGATGCCGATGGCCCCATCATTCTTCTTATATCTTCAGGTTGTACTTGCTGCGTTAGCTCACAGCACAATGCACAACTTACACTTAATAGAAATGCTAAACTGGTCTACAAGGTCAAAATAAAGCACAGCAAAATACTGTGCACTAGAGTTTAGCAGGGTTTGTTTTCAGTCTAATTATCCTTACATCAGCCTTGAATCCCTATCTTTGTAACAGCCACTGCGGCTCCTGTTTCCATCATTAACATTACTGGGTTTTCATTTTTGTCGTCATTCATTTCAAGAGTGTCAAAATAAAGCACAGCAAAATACTGTGCACTTGAGTTTAGCAGGGTTTGTTTTCAGTCTAGTTATCCTTACAACAGCCTTGAATCCTTATCTTTGTAACAGCCACTGTAATTAACATTACTGGGTTTTCATTTTCATATTCACTCATTTTAAGAGTGAAAACAACAGTTTCAAGACAAATTAAGGAAAAAAAACCAGCAGTATGAAAAAAAAAATCAACCTGATTGATGTCCTTCAAACGGGTCTTTGCATAGGGCAGCCATTCCTCGTTGAAGATCTTCACACCTTTCGGAGGTGTTCTTATATCTTCATTTTCTTCTTTGACCGAAAATACATCGGGGAAATTTGAGGTAAAATGGGTTCATGCACTGGGCAGCCATCCCTCGTTGAAGATCTTCACACCTTTCGGAGGTCTTCTTATATCTTCATTTTCTTCTTTGACCAAAAAACACGTCGGGGAAATTTGAGGTAGTTTGGGGCGACGAGGAGGAGTATCCACTTGGGCAGAGAAACGCTGCTTTCCAAAAACGCATTGCCGAAATCAGACCTAATCCTTGTTACGCATCCCAACTATTTTAAAGTTTTCCCTCAGGAAGTTAAATTTTAATTTGAGTGAACTCTCATTTTTGTTTTGGTAAATTTGTTGATTTACACGTTTTTGAGGACCGAGTTGCTATTTTTTATTAAATCTGATAGTAGACTTGTTTTGGGGGTCTATATTGCTTGTTTTTGTGGTTTTGGAAAAGAACAGTTTCTCTCCACAATTGCATCACCAAAACTAAACAAAAATCTGCTTCTCTGGAAGAGAACAATTTCTCTCCACAGTTGCATCACCAAAGCAGACCAAAACTAGACCAAAACCTGCAACTCCGGAAGTGAACACTTTCTCTCCACAATTGCATCACCAAAACTAGACCAAAACCTGCTACTCGGGCAGAGAACAACTGCACTGCTTCATCGTTCATGGTGGGGGTTCTTGTTTTTGTTGGTGCGGTTGTTGTCAAACCAAAAGCAAACTGACCTCCAGTGTCCCTCGTTGATGGTCTGTCCGTGTAGTGAAGTAGTCAATGTCTTACCTTACATGGTCCAGGCGTTGGCTGGTCATGAGTTCTGCCTCAGTTTGACCTGATCTGGCGTAATTTCAGCTCCTGGTTAACACACAGAGAAATACACAACCATCAATTTATTTATGACCTATATGCCATTTATAAATTATTTAAATATTAATAAACTATCTGCTTACCATTCATAAATGGTCAATTTACCATTTATAAGTTATGGTTATTGTAAAGTGTTATCAGTCATTTTATACAGCTCATGTTTGCATGATGGTTGGCAGCCATGCTCCAAATAAGACCATTTAAAGACCATTTTCAAGCCTCATCTTTATTTTCTTTCAAGGCTTATAAAGTTGCATCCCTGCCTCAGTCTCACCTTTGGCCTCAGTTGAGTGTAGTCATCTGAGAGGACATGAAGTTAGCTGGGGTCTGAGGAACATGCTGGAAAAAAAAACAAACAAACAAACACAGAAGCACAGTTAGTACACACCAACAACAGCACTTTCTACTGCAGACTCAGGGTACACTAAGACAGATCTGAATAAGCAGTTTTGCTTTTTCACACTGGGCTTTGAGATCTTATCGTCTTTTAATACAGTCAGAAAAATAAGAAAAAGGCCAAATGCAGTCTTCTGAACATTATATTCATGGCACCATCATGTAAACCTTAAAACAAACTTATTCATTCAAGTAAAACACCTAAATGTTTTTATAGGTGTCATGGATTCATGTTTAGGGTAGCTGTCAGAGGATTTTAAGGTCCAGTGGCCTGAATAACGCCATCTGCTGGACATTTAGTGTACACACACACACACCATCTGCAAGCTACAACTTGATGCCGGAGTGGAAATTTATTGGAAAAAGTCTTGTGTTTAACTTTGTGTAGTGCTTAAACACGTTAGGCCTGTATGATAATCCCATGAAAATAAAAGCATTTTAAATATGAAAGCGTGCCTAAGAACATTTTGTTCAAACACTAGCTCAGTAGAGATTGTATATGCCTCTAGATTCTTCAATATAAAAATCAATCATTAAGCTTTTAAAGCTTTGCATCTTTTTGGCTCAATTTAAGGAAAAAAAACAAACAAAAAACAACAACCATATGAGTCGAATTTTTCGAGTAAATTTCGGCGAAGCGCGTATCGAAGCTTGAGTTGATGACGTATGTGATAACGTTTGAAGCCGCCGGTGTTATGCCGTGGATTGCATCCCCTCTACTCATAAGCTTCTTAAAGTGGGAGAAAATGATCTTATATTTAAAACGAAACACGAGTATTAGATCCTGACATGGCAAATGGAGCAGCAAACTTTCCCGCTGTTTTTATGCGTCTAAAAAATGCACATAGAGAAGTGTACTTGGGTATATAAACTGTACAGTACGATGTTAAGGTAGAGAACATTATATTTTCGGGACAGCAAATATTCCCAATCAGAGGGCCGTTGTTTTCGGTTTATCTGGACAACCTGAACAAAATCATTAAAGGCATACACTTTTTAATTCATCCAATGGTAGGGAAAACTTGGATTATTTAGCCTTGTTCGGTACTTTCAACCGCGCTTCCGTCAGGGGGTGCATTTTACGGCAGGGGTGCAATCTACGGCAGAACACCGGTCGTACCACGTGACTCATTCAGGAACCGGCTCGCGGTTTTGGCGGGTGATTTAAAATCTAACGGGCAGCGAAACGCGACGGAGTACCGCTAAAAGTCTTGTCGAAAAGTTGTTTTTTTAATGAAAATGAATGAAATATTAACGTGTTCGATGCTGTCCCCGTAACAAACGCACAGTCACAAACCGAGTTATACACAGGCACATTCACATCACAACTGTCTCCATTACTATTTATGTCCTGTTCCCCTTTTCACCCTGCTACTGTGTCGTAAAGACAGACAAAATATCAATAACTTAATAATTCCTGTATCGATATCTCAAAACACATGGCGTCACATTCATTCATTCATTTATTCAATTCAGAGATTCACACACCAAAAGGGGTGTCTCTGATAATCGCTCTGCCTGTTTTACATTTATTTTCCACGATGGCACAGTTGAGCAAATGAAGTTTCAGACCAGAGTAAAACAAATGCATGGAAATAATGATTCAAGAGGCTTCATGTCACGATCACCAACTGAGTCCTTACCTGTGCTCTGGACGAAGGTGTTGCTTCCTCTCAGTTTGCTGGCGAATGGACCGATAGCTTCAGGTGACCCTCTTTTAAGCCTGTGACCACTCCCACGGGGCGTAATTAATTACATAATTTCAAACAAACCGAAATTTTCTCACCATCTAAAAGCAGTTTATTCCTCTAAACTCTTAATCCATCCGCAATCACTTATTTTACACTTTTATATTCACTTAATTTCATCATATTTGTTCATTTCTGAACCACGTGACCGTCATTTCGTATTTACTCTGTGGAAATCCACCGCCTCGGTTTGAGTGTCCCACTGAGCAAAAGACGTATATTAGACGTCTAGTCTAAATTTTTTACTTCATTTCAACGTCGGGATTCGGTCTATTTTTAGACGTATAAATTTATACGTCATTTCAACGTCTACATATGGTGGAGCACGCTCACGTGATCCACCGTGCAACCACTTCGGGTAGATTCTAATTCCGCCAAGAGCGAAGTAGTCCGTGATAAAAGTTATCGGCATAGCCGCAATACTACGAGATGAGTGACAAAAAGTATTTGGTAGCTCTGCAAGAGCCCAGCTTAACACCCGTATGGAGATCGTACCATAATCGGACCATAACATGAAAACGGCTTCAAATTGTGGACCGCACAACATCCGGCTGAAGCATTGCGCTTTGTACACACTCGACCTCACGACCGTCTGAGTACACCAGACGTTCCAGGAGTCGCGGAGTTCGAGAGTTATACATTCTGCTGAAAAGAGGTGGGTGCTGAAGGAAATATTATAGAAAATGTTTATTTTTGCAAGCTTTGGTCCTCCCACCGTCGTGCATCATGATGCGTGACGGTGAAATGCATTTTCAGCAAATGTTAAACTCGAGTTCGCATGTAGCCTGGTTGCTACTACGAGGGCTAGCTTGTGGCTAGTTTAGCCAGCATTAAATAGTCCATGCTAACGTGTGTTGTCATGAAAGTAAATAGCGGCCTGCTCTCTCTGTTGGAGCCAAGTTTAAAAGCTGCTAGTTAGGCTATCCATTTAATTAGAAAATGAAGCCTATTTTGATGCCAGTACTGTTGTTTTTGTTTATCCAGTGGTATTTTTTCATATAATTAAATTTGTGTTAAACTGTAATTGTCATAGATTGTGTTTTCACTATGTGTGGTAGAAATGGGAAATAGAAATTAGTTGAATTATTCCAATATTATTTTGTTCATGCATTAGCAGTGCTATAGGAAATGGTAATAGTAAAAATCTAAAAGTACTGGTATCGACATGTTTTTTACCAAGAGCAAAAGGTATTCATTATGCATTATGTCCTGCTTCACAAGTTGCCAATTGTACTAAAAAACCAAAACAATTTTATAATGGTTGATCTACAAGCTCACACTGTTATTAACATTATTGTTTTTCTACTTTCTTTTTTTCATGTGATTTCTTTCCAGCCAAATTGAATATGGCCTCTAATTATTTGAAAGAGTGGCGGAGAAAAAGAGCTAGGGAGGGTGATTTCATGGATGAATTTTTGAATTGGTTTCAAGGTAAGGATTTATCAGGTTTAGCAGTGGTTTTTAAGTAGGGTGGGGGCTATTTTAAAATAGTGCAACAGCATATGATTTTGTGTTTAACAGCCAAAGTTAAGCACCACACTCATCATCCATTTATTGTCTCGTTCTCGGATTTTGCAGCAAGGAAGAGGGTTTATTCCTACCCAATGCCTGACAAAAGTAAAAGTGGCATAACTACAGAACAAAATGTTGTTATGTAATGTATTGTAATTATTGAATTGAATGTGGTTGTGGAAACACTTTTGGAAATCTGCGATGAATTGAAATCGCTCAACCAGCAGGGGGACATTGAAGATGAGGGTGAGCAGATACGTCAGTTGCCGTTAAGGACTTTGGAGGAGGCTCAGCGCGTGTCGTTGGAAATCAGTAGGCACCCCAGCGTAAAACATTTACTGGTAAGTCAAATAGAGATGCTAAAAATGATAGAAATCTATACATTAGACACTCTTGATAATTTGATTATATCATACAGATAAAACAACGGTCACACCTTGGGGGGAAGGACATTAAGACCTGCACACGCAGGATCCTGGACATGTATGAATAAGACAGCAAGACAATGTTGTTAATATAATCATGTATTGTTGGTGTTTATCAAGTCTTTTTAGTGAATTGCAAGAGTTAGCAGTATTAAGGTGCGTTCACACAGGCACTTGCGCAACGGCAGCGAGGGTCTCTCTGAGGTTTTAGGGACTTGTTCAGCAAGTAAAGAGCAGCGCTGGACACGGTATCCGACGAGATCGAGGGGAAACCTAGAGCGGGTGTGACGTAATGCACAACGCGAATTGATGGTGGCAAAGTGACACGTTTTAGGACACAAGACAGGACAAGTTGCGTTGCCTGTCCGGTGTGAACGCACCTTAAGAGATTTATTTGTCTTTGATATCCATTTCAGAATTTTACACAATGACGTGCAGAGGAACTACAACCTCCTGGGTGGAGAACGCCAGGGGAAAAAAAGCTTAAAGAAAACTGCTTTCTTCACAGTTGTTCTTGGTAAATGAATTATATCCCTGCAAGTTATTACTTATTCTTGGTCATGTTACTGACTCATTTAAAGCCTGAAGCTGTAAAAAAGTGAAGAATCCTTCCGGACAATACTAGATAATTTCTACACTTACTATGATTCAAGTTTCTTTTGTTTTTTTATCTTTTTGCAGAGTCTGTTCGCACTAACTTCCCGACGGCAACGGAGGAACTGGTCGCAGCATCGTTTGGGGACCATTTGAAACAGGCACCAGCTCGATGTGGTGGGAGGGGCACCACCAGAACACCACCCTGCTAATTTAAAAAATATATATATATCTTAAAATTGTTAATATTTATAGTTCATTTCAGTATTAGCATTAGTTAAATTTTTCTTTGTTGTTGTTGTTGTTCTTTATACTTTGTAGCTATGTTTTTATATAGATAAATAGATTTTTTTTTCTTTTTTAAATGTTCGTTTAACTAGATGTGAAATTTAATTTTTTTCTTTCCCACTCCATGACTGTGATGGTTATATTATGAGTAAAAAATGTACTGTGATTTCAATTACAGTGGACTGATGGTTGCCAAATGTAGATCAGTGTTAAATTATGAATGAGCATGACTGTAGAAGCTAAATATTCTAGAAGGTCCAGAAAGAGAAGCAACATTGCCGAAATAGAACATCCTGGGGGTACGTGTATCAAGGTTAGCAGCAGGTAACTTTTGGTGTAGAGAATCTGGCTCCACAGATGGTGTTTCCTGTGAATACTTTCATCAATTTACATATATCAGATGCTTATGGTAATATGCATTGTTGATATTTAGTAAATTTATTAAAATATTTACAAGACACGATTGTGCCTTCAGACGTCCGTTGGACCTGTAGTCTAAAAATGGTTTAACAGTGGTATAGAAATGAAAGTTAAATAGACTCGTTCGGTCAGCGCCGTAGGCTGACCGGGGACCTGCGGGCTCCAGCGGACCGTCCGCACGCGGGGAGGCTCGCCCGGTCCCCGCTGGGTAGGCAGATTTAGACCAGATGTCTAATAAACGTTTAATCAATGTCTATGTCTATACCTGGGTTTATATTTGGTAGAAGCATTAACGTCTAACATAAAGACGTTTAAATGAAAACGTCTATTGGACATCATTTCAACGTTATAGACGGAACAATGTAGAACAAACACGTTTAAACAACGTATAAATCAAAATGTTTAAACAACGTATAAATGTCGACGGAAAAACTTTCATTTCTATACCTCTGTTATACCAAATTTAGACTAGACGTCTAGTCTAAATTTAAACGTATATTAGACGTATAATCAACCTCAAAATGCTTGCTGGGCAGATGTCTAACAAATGTTTAATCAACGTCTATGTCTATACCTGGGTTTATATTTGGTAGAAGCATGAACGTCTAACATAAAGATGTTTAAATGAAAACGTCTATTGGACGTCATTTCAACGTTATAGACGGAACAATTTATGAACAAACACGTTTAAACAACGTATTAATTTCGACGTTGAAAAAACTTTCATTTCTATACCTCTGTTATACCAAATTTAGACTAGACGTCTAGTCTAAATTTAGACGTATAATCAACCTCAAAATGCTCGCTGGGATAGTAGTAATATTTCCACATTCATTGAAAAAAATGGGTCAAGGGATGGAAAGTTGGGATAGCCACTTTAAAACGGGGTGAGTATAGCGGCATAGTTAAGAATAGTTTGTTGTAGTATGACATGGAACAGTAAAGAAAGTACAGTTAGGTATTCTTCAGAGCAGTTACATGTATTTTAACATTGGAATGGAGAGTAAAGTAAACTAAGTGAAGAAAAGGAGTGTGTGGTATCATAAAGCATTGTGTTGTGCAGAATAATCAAGTACAGTATGATATACCTGATTGTATGGTACTGTGGTAAAGTACAGTATAGTTTTTTATAGAATAGTTAAGTATTGTATTTAAAGTACACTAAAAACCAGAAACATATACAAATATATAGTGTACACATGCCGTAAGCATCTAAATTTCTAATCAGCCAATCACATGGCGGCAACTTAGTGCATTTAGGCATGTAGACATGGTCAAGACAATCTCCTGCAGTTCAAACCGAGCATCAGTATGGGGAAGAAAGGTGATTTGAGTGACTTTGAACGTGGCATGGTTGTTGGTGCCAGAAGGGCTGGTCTGAGTATTTCAGAAACTGCTGATCTACTGGGATTTTCACGCACAACCATCTCTAGGGTTTACAGAGAATGGTCCGAAAAAGAAAAAATATCCAGTGAGCGGCAGTTCTGTGGGCGGAAATGCCTTGTTGATGCCAGAGGTCAGAGGAGAATGGCCAGACTGGTTCGAGCTGATAGAAAGGCAACAGTGACTCAAATAACCACCCGTTACAACCAAGGTAGGCAGAAGAGCATCTCTGAACGTGCAGTACGTTGAACTTTGAGGCAGATGGGCTACAGCAGCAGAAGACCACACCGGGTGCCACTCCTTTCAGCTAAGAACAGGAAACTGAGGCTACAATTTGCACAAGCTCATCGAAATTGGACAATAGAAGATTGGAAAAACGTTGCCTGGTCTGATGAGTCTCGATTTCTGCTGCGACATTCGGATGGTAGGGTCAGAATTTGGCGTCAACAACATGAAAGCATGGATCCATCCTGCCTTGTATCAACGGTTCAGGCTGGTGGTGGCGGTGTCATGGTGTGGGCAATATTTTCTTGGCACTCTTTGGGCCCCTTGGTACCAATTGAGCATCGTTGCAACGCCACAGCCTACCTGAGTATTGTTGCTGACCATGTCCATCCCTTTATGACCACAATGTACCCAACTTCTGATGGATACTTTCAGCAGGATAATGCGCCATGTCATAAAGCTGGAATCATCTCAGACTGGTTTCTTGAACATGACAATGAGTTCACTGTACTCAAATGGCCTCCACAGTCACCAGATCTCAATCCAATAGCGCATCTTTGGGATGTGGTGGAACGGGAGATTCGCATCATGGATGTGCAGCCGACAAATCTGCGGCAACTGTGTGATGCCATCATGTCAATATGGACCAAGCTCTCTGAGGAATGCTTCCAGCACCTTGTTGAATCTATGCCACGAAGAATTGAGGCAGCTCTGAAGGCAAAAGGGGGTCCAACCCATTACTAGCATGGTGTACCTAATAAAGTGGCCGGTGAGTGTATATAGTGTACACATGCCGTAAGCATCTAACTTGTGTGAACTAGACCAGCAGGGAAACTGGGAGCAATCTACTTGGGTAGGGTCAGCATTAAACTGACCTGTACTTGTTTAGGACATCGTTTGTAAGAAACTTGAAGTCATCTCTTGTGCAGAGGTTTGTTTTAGCTGTACACAATGCTCACAGTTTTTACACCAGATAATCTCAGATGCATGTGAGCTACATTGGTATCAGTTTTATATAGTAACAATCTGGCGCTAAAAATAGTCTAGGGAATAAAATGTGTTTCTAAATAAAGCCAAATGTGACACGAAACAATGATCTGTTCTAGTGTGATTTATGCTGAGCTGTGTTACATATGACGTTCGGGGACTCCTCTCCAGCACACACGGCCTATAATTAAAATGTTGCACTCTGACATACTGTAAATGTCAGCCTATAGCCATACATGTGCATGTGTGTGAAACCTCAGGCTCCACAGGGATTGTTTTCAACACTAGGAAGAAGTGTGTGTATGTTTGTGCATGTGTGCGAGGTCGAGCTGGGAGCTGCTGGAAGGATGGATAAGGAGGACGGACAGAGGGAAGGAGTGAAGAGATAGAGAGAAAGGAGGAGGAGGAGGAAGGAAAAAAAAGGGTATGCGCGTCATTCTAACACGCAATGATTGGTGGGAGCTAGGAGGAGGAGGAGGAGGAGAGCACGAACACTCTCACAGTGAAGGGTTTCATGCAGCACTACAGCAAGGTTCTGCATATCTGCTCCAACAGTATTTGTTATATAACAGATGTTATTCTGTTTTGACCCACCTCTTGCACCTCATACTATGGCTTTGTGTCTTTTAAATGGTCTCTTTTAAAGTTGTATACACTATATTTACATTTATTTACATAAAATGGAACCAATTCAGACCTGCTGTTATATTTTCAACTTAATGCGCCAAAGTCCAAAACATGGTGTTCCTTTGTTTAGACTTTCCCTGAAGTCGGACATAACTAGGACAAAAAACAAATAAAAAGGTTTACTTGAATAAAAGAACGATTTCGGAATAAATTCTATTTCTGTTTGTCTTAAGATTCATTGGTTAGAATTTATGTTGTTTTTACTTTAAATACAGCCCTGTCTCCTCGAATCTTAATGGAAAAAAATCATACAGTATGTTTACATATTGATGAATAAATCAATTTATCACATTACTCTAACTGACACCAGACTTTTAGAAAACATGTTAACATGTTAATCCAATTAAAATCCAATAATTGGTCTTCTTAGTTGGACTAACATATATAGAAAATGCAGATTTTGATTTTCTTTCTCATGTTTACACCTCAGTTGAACAAAGACTTGCTACTGAGCATGGTCCAGTGCAGGAGCACCATGACTGGAAGTTGAATAGCACAGATGCATTGCTAAGAAGCCAGGCAGTACACAAAATCTAGAAAAAGAAAGGAGGTTGAATAGCACAAAACTTTCCTATTGTACTAAGAAACGGTACAGAGATGTAAAAGTGACAGTATCTTTATTGGTCAACGCACATCCTGTTAACCTCTTGATGATTGTTTTGACCCATAACTGATCAACTGGTAGACCACCTGAAAGTAACAAGATGAAAGGAGACATGTTGCCACCTACAGTAGCAGAGGCAAACACGCTTCTTTCTATAAAAGGTTTCATGCCAGGTACAACTCAAACCAAAACTAGACCTTTACTTGTTATAGCCTACAGGGTAGGTTGAAACACATGCCGAAGTCAGAAGCAGCAATCACAGAAAAGAAGAAAAAGATCCCACACCTTGCATGAAGAGGTTTATTTAAATACAAAGAAAATACACATTATTGTCTTTCTTGTGAGAAACTCAAATCCACTTTCGCTTTCATTTGGAAATGTGTGTGCCTGTGCTTGTGTTTGCTATGTGTGTTCAAACTAGTTTTCAGAGACAAACTTTCTTTCTTGGTGGTTTGCATCCATTATGAATACAATGTAAGTATATTTACAGAATTAAATAGCTGTATAAGTAACACATTTTTGTATGCTAGATTTTGCCATCATAGCTTTCAATTTTTAGACTACATGCTTTGAAATGTATCATAATTAAAATTTAATAAAATTAAAGTTA